GCGCTGCTGCTCGATGGGGAGCTTAGCATGGGCAATGAAGAGCAATTCATTAGATAATCCGAGGGGGAGAGCTTAGGAGAACAGATTGTAATTATTATCCGTAGGAACGCTGGCCGTCACGCWGGGCGCCGGCACCTGCGGGAAGGCTCGTCCCGGCGGAGGCAGCACYGTCGCGCAGAGCTTGCTCCTCCAAGGACCCGCGGCGCGCTGCGTCCCCAGCCCCACACCTCTTCCCGCACCATCTGCTCTGGCCCCAGGGCACGTTCCGGATTTTTCCCGTGGTCTGGCAGTGCCGCTGGGCCAGCCTGGCACGTCGTGGGCCACTCGCCTCATTCCACCCTCGTATGGGCTGTTCGGCTGCAGACGGAGCCAACCCCAGGGCATGTTCGGAGCTGGTGAATGGGGTCGCGGGTGTGATGGCACTTCGGTTTTCCCAAGATGGGAATCTTTTGCAGGAAGGGAACACAGCCTCTTAAAGACRGTGGAAAACTCACAGCGCAGTGGGTGGCTGGAGAAGCAGCGGATGTCACTCTGCAACCCAGACGTTGCAGAATTCACTTTAAAAGATGCTCGCAAGTGCGTTCGTGTTCAAGTGGAAGATGAGCCTCTGTGGGAGCATCCAGGTGTTGTTGGACGGTGCGCCTGCCACAGTGCGCTGCCGCCGGTTCGTTATGGGTGGGAGTAATTAATGCTTGATGGAGATCAGGGAGAGGGCAGCAGTTTCCCCAGTTTATGGGCCACTATAATTCTCCGGTGTTTTTGAGCCTCACCACTATAGTTTATTCATTAACCGCCAGAATATTAGTGCTCTATTTCTTTTTAAATATGCACTCAACCAATGCTAAATTGCAATGATAGCAGTGCAGGAGATTTATGGCAGCTATAAGGCCCTTCCATAAGTACTCGCCATTCAAACAAATGCTTGCACCAATATGCCATCACAGGGAGTGGCTGATTGAACAAGTACAGGGGGCTTGGCAATGTCTCTTAGCAAATTAACCGCGCTGCCCTTCCCCTGCGTGTGCTRCTAGTGCATAACTGCTCTTGAAGGGTCGAATGTAGAGGGATGAATTTTCATCCACTGGCCGCATTTAATGCCGCCCGGTAAATTAAAGAAGTTATAAATACAGCTGCTCCTGCCCAATGGCAAGACAAGCGGYGCTGAAGCAGAGCGTGCTCTGTATTATGCAGGAGCCTGGCTGCAGCAGGAGACGATCACGTTGGGCGCGCTGGGTACTCCGCTTTATAGAAGGAATAGTATTAAAGGCAGCACAAGCCTGCCTTAGCCTGGGGCGGAATCCTAGGCCCCGATGAGCTGTACTTTCAAAGCAACAACTTGTCTAAAAGCAGAGATGACATCCGCGCTCCTGGCGCAGCCGTGCCCAGGGGTGGCCGTGGAGCTGCTTGCGGTGCGCGCGGCTCTGGCCTGCCTCGCCGAGCCGCTCGACACGGCCCGCTGGGACGTCTCGGCGGCCGGGAGCAACCCCTGGCCTTGTGAGCACGTCTTTCATGGCTCTGCTTTCCAGGGCCTCCGCCCCGCCGCGCTTCTCCGGTGCGAGATGAAGCCTGACAACAGCAAGGATAGATGACGGCAAGGATGGATAATGTTTGCTGGTCTGGCTGACTTGTGTGCTGGGTTTCCACTGATACACAACAAGTCCAGATTKAAAGAGCAAACCCTGGCGACCCTTGGAAGGGAAGAAGGTCCTGAAATACGCTCTCCGGATRCGTTTTGCCACCTTATTTGTGCTGATAAGAATTTGGTTTCCTTCTGTTCCCTCATCTCCAAGAGGGAGAGGAAGTTCTTCCTGCCAGTTAGGTATGAGTTATGTTCTCACCAAGCTGTCTTGTTCTCATTTAGAAAGCCATCGGGATTTGCCGCTTCAGGAACCTGTTTATTGCAGGTATCAGTTGCGATTCGCTGTTCACAGCCATCATTCCATTCTAACTGAGGAACTCCTGCTGGAGTGTGAACAAATGGACCGTCCTGCTGCACCTGCATGGAGCCAACTGGACCGTACTGTTCCTCGAGCGAAATCCTGGCCTGGCTCGGTGCCACTACCTGCTCTGCAGGTGCCATGGAGCGAGCACAGAGCTGCAAGCTACAGGAATATGTTSTGTCTTCATGAGAAGCCCAGAATCAGGATCTTTCCTCCCGAACCAGATCCTTTCCTATGACCTTGAGTGGGTTCCTGCATAACCATCTTCAATTGTCTCCTCTTGTGGTCTTGCTTCCAGCTGTAACACATCTTTCGGGGAAAACCTCAAGGAGAGGCCTGAGTCTGCAGAGGATATTTATGAGAGCTCATGCCTCTCGTGGTCTCCTTATGAATCGAAAGGTCCTCAAAACCTTTGGGGCCTTGATTGTGGTGGATCCTAGAAGAAGAGTCTCATTCAGATAGAGGAAAAAATGGTCTATGGGGAACCCAAATGGCCATGCAGTTCTGCAGAGAAATCTCCAAGTGCAGGACATCTCCAAGGTATTGGAGAACGGTCTCRAGGTAGGTGACAGCATGGTTTTCCCAAGGGTCTGGGTTATCAGAGGGAGGTGAACCGATCCCGATTCCCAGCGCCAGATGGATTTTGCTGGATGTTTTTGGAAAGCATCTTCCTCAGCTAGCTCTGGAAAGTTCCTTGGTTTTCCTTTCCTCTCTGTGGTCCCCCACGCTGTTGAAAGCAGCTTGATGAGATACATATCTTTAAACCTGTGCATCCCCTCACTTGTGGAGAAAATGATTGTGAAGGATGCTAATTTGCTTGCTTTTCAGTGGTTAGCACCTTAATCAAACAAATGGTATCTTGCCTTGTCGGTGAGCTCTAGCCTGCCTCTTTGTCTGGATTTCGACAAGTAATTTACAGACTTCAATTACTTGCTTTTACCATCATTTTGCTCCATGTTGAAAGCATAATTTATCAGCAGACGCTCTCGTCTTGTGTACGCTGACTCTAAACAGTGGAAAACCTTTTCCTCTATTATTCCAGTCAGGCTCAGTCGCGTTTTCAATATCAGGCTTTCTGGAGGAGCTATTGGGTTGACACACAGCAGGATCTGCATCTGTCGCTCCGAGCTTTTGAAGGTGCCGGCTCCGGCTTTGTGCACGGAGCGTGTTGGAGACACCTCTGCGCCGCTCTCTCATTTCACGGGATGTGCCTTTCTTCCCTTTCGGCGCTAACACGCGCACCGTTTTGTCATTCAAATAGCAGCCCGCAAGTTTAACAACATGTTTGCCGTTGCGCTTAAGCGTGGATTTGCAGATGAGCTGTCAAAAGTAACTAGTGATCCATTAGAGATAAAAATTGGGAAATTTCACAGGTTATTCTCAAGGTAGATGTTTCTGGGTTTTTTTTTTTTTTAATGTTTTTTTCCTGGTTTGTGCTGAACCCTATTTGCATTTCAAGATAAAAGATTAATWAGGACTTGAAGTGTTTGGGGAGGTCCCAGCAATGCTGTAGAAGTGGGGCCCAGACCCGCTGCATTTCACACCATCCRAAGGACAAACATACCTTTAACTGGAGGTTTTATACCAAATTTGACAGCTGCAAAGGCCAATATAAAGAAAAACCTGCAAAATTGCCCAAATTGATTTGASTAGAGCCTGGCCCGGGTGGATGAGCAGCTTATTCAGCATTTCCAGTGTACCATTGCTTTACATATAAACTTGCTCATTTTCCCATGATTTGCACTAAAGGCAGATTTTCTTCCTGCAGTGTTTTAAACTAATTAGAAATCTTTTATTTCTGCCTTCAAAGCCTATCTGGCTATCTGTGGGCACTGGCCGCTAACGCAGGCTTACTGTTGTCCAGATTATCTCTCCAGCTTGAGTGGTTTAATAGGTCAGTCGCGTATTAAAAGAGGATTTTCACTTGGATAAAATCTTTTTAAAAGGGTAATTTTTTTCCCCCTCTGCAAGTGCTTCATWCTGGCAACCTCCCTTTTGCTCCTGCTGGGGCTTTTAACTCCCATGTGATTATTTTAAGTCCCGTCGTAGCTTTTCCCCATGYGTTTCGTGCTCGGTGGTGGTGTTGGGGGGTTTCTCCGCGGCTTGGAGCTGGCTGGTGACGTTCCCTTCGTGTCCCCGTTGCTGTTGGCGCGGTGCTGGGCTCGCTGGGCACCGAGTTGCGGTGGTTTCGGAGCCGCCGAGCTGCTGCAGAGCCCCAGCTGCCGAGCCGTGGGATCCGTGGAGCGGCTCCGCTGGCTTTTTTTAGCTCCTCTTCCTCTGGGGAAAAGATCTTAAGGAATTCTTGCAGCTGAGTGCGAGGTGGAAAAGTGATTATTTTTTTAGCCTGGGGAGTTGGAGGTGGCCTTGGGGTTTGGCAAAGGGGCGAATGCAGGGCTYGCCACTGTTGGAGGCCATCGGTCCTCCCATATCAAAGATTGTCCCATATCAAAGATGTCCCATCTCTGCCACCCACGGAGAGTCCCCCCCGCTTTGAAACCCTTGGCAGAGCTGTCACTACCCCGGCAGCTCCTATCTAGGCTTTTCCATCTAGGCTTTCTCCAGGATTTCTTTCAGTGCAGGGGCCAAAATGAGACTAAAGGGGAGGAAGCCCCTGCAGAAGTTTGTCCTCGTTTACGGGATGTTTTCAAATCCTGTTTATTCTCCGGGGTCACGGTTGCAGGAGGAGCAAAGGGGATATTGCATTTTGGCGCTGGGGGAGCTCAGACATCGTGCACCTTGCTCCCTTTGGGTGGAAAGCAGAAGACACGAGCAGTGGTGGTGCTCGGGACCGTCAGAATGACCGCTTTGGTCATTTTGGACAYGCGTGTCCAGTTGGATGGTGCCTTGGTGGTGAAGAATTGCTCACCAGCGACATTTACACGTGGCTCTGAAGCAGCTTGCCCTTCCTCCCTCACATCCCTTGTTTTCTATAAGGAGACCACAATACACTGAATTATTAAACTAGGTTAGATTCATCTCCCGAGGTGCCCTCGGAGCGGCACTCTGCCGGCTGGGAACACGAGTGTGTTATATGGCGTTTTCTCTTCTCTCTCCTCTCAGGTGTTTACAAAATATGGGAAATGCTACATGTTTAACTCAGGAGAAGAAGGACGGCCTCTTCTTACCACTGTTAAGGGTGGGACAGGCAATGGACTGGAAATCATGCTGGACATACAACAGGATGAATATTTGCCAATATGGGGAGAAACAGGTAAGACCTTCTCTTTCCTCCTGCAGCTTCGATTTGGAAGGATGCTGTGGGCCCTTCTCCATTCTCATCCTCCCCATCCTCACTGCTTTTGGGCGTATTGGCACCAAAGAGCCATCCCCTGCTTTGGGACAGCAACTAGGAGGCCCATTCCTTGTCCTGGAGCTAGGGTGGCTGCTTGCAGGAGACAAGTGGTGTGGTGTTGGCTTTGGATGCTCCAGCCGTTCTCTCTTCCCCAAAAGAGTTTCTAGGAGGTTGCGTCCAAGGTGGGCATCCAGCTTACGTGTGTCTTCATCCTCTTTGGGKACAGTTTTGGAACATCCATTGCCCTAATTCCTGTCTTTGCTTGGGTTAGTGGTCTCCATACAGGCTTTGCTTGTGGTACTTATAACATTTGGGTGGATGTGGTCCAAACTTGGCCAGTTTGGGCATCTTCCGTGGAGCCGACAGGCTGAACTTGAGCCCTTCTGTCCTGGCATGGTGGTGGAAGGTTAGGCAAGGCGGTGGCAAGGTTTTGCAAGCCTGCTTTTATGTTTTAAGCAAAACAAGCTAGGAAAATGTCAGAAAAAATGCCTCTGCTGGACCTCCTGAGGAGGAAGCCACTCTGTTTCCTCGGCAGTTGCTAGCAAAGCAAACATTGCAGTGGGATTTTTTTTTCTGGACAAGATTATCCGTGTTTATTTTCAGACCTTTGAAAAGGTAGAAGAGCAAGATACTGTTTGGGAGCTTGMATTTTGGTTGCATGAATTCTCCCCTTCTAGTACCCTTCATTTCTGTTCAGCACCCAAAGGGAGAGCTGGGTTGGTCACGTTCGTTCAGAATTTATAATTTATTTGAGTGCTTTTCACTTGTTATTATTTCAACACATTCCCCCAGTCCCCTCAGCCCTTTAAAGTTGCACAGACATTTGCCTTATGGTTTTTAGCTAATCCACCAAGGCAGCCCAGCGTGATCCAGCTGAGCGGGGCGGATTTTATCGGAGTGATTTGGACTAACCCAGCTGTGTCACGAGTTGCACAGTGCTCATGGCAGGAACCCATCCAGAAATGTGTTGCCTTGTAGAGCTTTGCTTTTCTGCACCGGGAAGGGTGGCTTAGTCCACTGTTAATCTCACAAAGGTGTATCTTAAATCTGTGCATCTTGTACACGCCTCGCCTCATCTATCTGAACACCAGAGGCATGCAGAAGCTTTCTGATCTTCTGTGAAGTGGGTTGGTGTTGTGGAGGGGGGATTGAGATGGCAAATGAGGTCTCGACCTGACCATGAAATCCCATGGGAGTTAAGGGATAGCCATAAGTTGAACTCTTGGTTAGGTTAAAGATTGTAATGGGAGCTCCTGGGCTCCTTGCGAGTGAATCTGCCTTGTGTTTGCAGCCCCAAGTAGAACTGGAAGCTCTTTGAAGCTCCCAGAAACATGAATCTTTGCCTATCAGCAAGAGACTTGTTCCTCCTCTGTGCTTGTACAGCGCCTTGTACAAGCTGTCTTCAATGTTTTTTGGGCCCTCTGGACACTGCTGGAATAAAAATATTAACCGGAGTGGTTAATAGTTGCCGTTCCCATGGAAACACTTAACTTAGCGCTGCGCAGGTAAGTGAAGGAGCTGATGATTTCCAAATATTTGCATAATAATGTAAATGTGTTCGGAATTAAATCGCCGCCGCCGCTACCGCTGGGACTGTACAAAGGGTCTGGCTCCAAGAGTGGATGTGCAGCTCTTGAGAGAGCGTCAGCACTTGCTATGGGGAGGGAGGCGAGCAGACGTGGCGCAAGCTCTTGCATTGCAAGGCCATGGTAGGTCTTCATGTGGAAAATACAGGGACTTGTTAAGCTGACGCCCTTGTTATCCTGATTTTTGATTATACGCCAGCTTGTTTTCTTTTTTCTTCTTACAGTGCTGGGCTTTCTGCCTTTCCTTCTCAATCCCATCACCTCCAGCCCTTGCATTTCTCTAGCCCGTTGTGGTGGTGGTGGCTCGTGTTTACTGCAAAGAGTTGTCCTGTAGGAAACAGCAAAGCCAAAAGCCCTCCAGACCCTGATTCACTGCCCTGTCACCCAAGCATTGGACCGTCCAAGCAGACCAGGGCAACACACACGACCTTTCCCCCGCCCTGCACTTGGTGCATCTAGAGGGCCACCATGCCCAACGTTCTCATCTTCCCAGGTGCTGGAACAGATAGGACCATTGATGCTCTTTAGGTAGTCCCTGCACTGGGAAGCCAAGCAATTTGACCAAAGTCGTCCTGTTTAGCCTCACAGAGGCTTTGTGTTCAGCTCCAGGCCTGTAGGTGCTATCCAAGCCCGGTCTTTTCATCATTTCTGTTTCATCAACAGATGAAACTGTTATAAGATCCATGATATCCCCATGGAAATCCCAACGCAAGCAAAATTTTGCAATCCCGCGTGAAGGTGGAAATGCAAGATGGAAAATTTTATCTGGGGAGTCGCGGGGAAAGAAAAGCTTTGCAGACCACAGTCTCTGAACAACAGAGAGAGTCTCCCAAATTATAGTTTCCCAGCGTTGTCCTACAAGATGGGATACAGAGGGTCTTCGCTTTATTGCACTTTGCAGCAGAATCAGCAGCAATGCAATCAAATACAGTAAAAGAGTTTAATTTATAGCAGAGACTATTTGATTGGAAAGGGAATCCACTGCTGGTTAATCTTCCCGGAGTGGCCCAAGGTGTTATATATTGACCTTATATACCAACGCAGTGGATTGGAAAGCACTCRGGCCACAGCGCCRTAAATAAGAAATACGAGCCAAGCGGTCGGCRTTTGCGTTTCCAGAGTTGTGTGATMAAGATGAACGTTACATACCAATTAATCAAGTAACATGCTGGAAAAAAAGAAGARGGGGATGAAAAATAAATAAGCTATAAAAATGCACTAAAAAGAACCATGAAATCTCCAAAGTTTGAGGCTTCAAACCGCTTTGGAGACTCTCACGTAGTGTTGTGTGCCGCTACTGTTTGAAGCGGATAAAAGCAAGGGCAGTGAGCAAGATTTCTGATCTAGGTCACAGGTAGGAAGCATTTAAAGTCAATTCCCCTGCACATCAGACCTATCCAAGACCATGTTGTGTTTCTCTGCTTCCCAGGAGGGTGTCTTAATGTCATTATGGACCTTGGGCACTTAGTTTCCAACTCCTGTCATCAGATGTTACCTGCAGCCTTCGAAAAGGGGCAGGTTGGTGAGACCCACACGAGCCCCCAGGTTTGCAGAGTCACTGTCCGAGGGTGATGGTGAGGTGAGCTGTTGTGCATCAGCACAAGAGGTGCAGATGACTTCAGTGGCATAAGATTTCCACGCTGCTGCTTTTCTTTTTAATTAAAGCCACCTTAATTGAGTTGATCTCTTTTTGCCTCCAAATTGAATGCAGATGAATTGAATTAGCGTGGCTTCAATACTGACTGGTGGCCCTAGCGCAGGTGCTGATGCTTCACAAGTTGCTTCTGACTCATTTGTGCTTCTGTGAAGGACCATTCTGGCCCTGCTMGTGTCTCTGGAGAAGACGAAGGCCGTGCGGTCCCTGGCTGCATTTCCACGGGGACGCAGGCTCCAGGTGGGGATGGTGGTGAGGAGGCTCCTGCAGAACCCTGTGAGTGCCAGCCTGAGCTTTGGTGGGAGAAGCTCAGCAGGGCTTTGCTGAGTTACCTGCTGCCTGCGCTGGTTTCTTTTACACTTTGGAGCTGGGCTCCAATGCTCCCCAAATGTTTGGGGTGCTCTGGGCATCCGTACAAGGGATTTCTGGGGATTTCTCCCCAGAAACTCCTTATACCCAAGAACCCTGCGCCCTCCTGGTGCCCCTGAGCTCTCCTGGGCTCCTGCAGCTGGAGCCCCATGGAGGGGAGCAGGGGGACGCAGGGCAGGGGCGCGTGGCCGGTGGCTGCTGCCGCCAGCCCCAACAGTTCCTCCTGTCCACATTGCCTCCTCCCGGCACAGCCGCGGCCGTTTCCATGGTTTCTCCGGCTTCCCTGCCTGCTAGGATTTCATGCCAGGCCAAACAGATCTCAGCAGCAGCTCCACGCCGCAGAGCCGGGGCCGCTGCTGCTGCAGCGCCTTGGCCCAAAGCTCCTGAGAGCAGGTTGGTGRTGCAGCTCAGGGTTTGGCTGGCCCCGCTTTTTCCAGGGGTTGCCACGCTGAGGACTTGCTCTGCAGCCTCTGCAGTCCCTTCAAGCGCTCGCTTTGCAGCTGCAGAGAGGCCCCAAGCCATTGCTGTGATTTACTTCTGCCTATTAATGCAATTAGCGGCTGCTGCTGATAAATCCGGGCGTACCAGAGAGGTGGTTTCAAGCACATGGTGGCTGCCAGTGGTTACCAGARGCAGGTTGTCTTTTCCCTGCTCCTGGCTGCAAACCCCCAGCGCTCCACCATAGAGCCCATCCATTTCCATCATGGATTTCCACCACAGAAAACCTTAACCAAGGCCAAGCCCACCTGTAGGTAGGAAAGAGGCAGGATAAGTCCTGGGAGTGGAAGCAATGCTCAGCAGCAGCAGGTATAAAAGGGCCTTTCCTTAAGTTTTAAGGGACTTAATCTTTTTTTCTTAACACTTTTTTTCTTGTGGAGTCCAGAGTGCTGGTCTGCTGTGGGCATGGTATAAAAGGAGAAGARAAGCAAAGAGGGAAGTGCTCCCATAGGAGCAGAATTAGAAAATGCCGATAAATCCTGCCAAGCAACAGGTTTGCAAGCAGCCATGCAGATTTTATCRCGTGTCTCTGACGTGAGCTGTCTTGGAAGCCAGAAATGCTAAGTGGCTTTAAAAAGCAATTAGCCAAATGAATGGAAGGAGCAGTAACGAAGATCCTGTTGAGGAGTGGTGCATGACTTGCAACCTAAGCAATGCTTGAGGAGCACATTGCTCAAAGCTCRCAGCGTCTTTGGGTTCTTCCTGCATCCTGCTGTGTCCCGCCAGCCTCCCCTGTGCATGCAGGGGGTACCTAGGACATGTGTGGAAGCAGAAGATAGCCCTGCCATGCTTAGTGCATCCCAAAAGTTCCC